ACTGACAGAACCATAACAGTTGTAGGTCCCTGCATGAGCAGATGTCACTGGATTCATGGAGAAGTTGGCTTGGGAGCTCCCATGATGGAGTTCCCCAGCAAGGTACAAAGTGTTCTCAGTTGCCCCTGATCTGTGCTGAACCAGAATGAACTTCTCAAATACCATCTCTGAGAAGCATTGCAGGGTCAAGTTCCCTCCTGATTTCACCAGGGTACCCAGCTGGGCCAAGAGAGAAGGTTTTCTGTAGACTCCTAGGAACAAAGAGATCGCAAGTTTAGAAGGACTCACCCTTCCTCATCCCATTCCATGGGAAGCGAAATGTGTGAGGGTTCCTCTTGTGGGGTGGATGTCCCCCCAAAGCTCACTGACTCTACAACCCCACAGTGACAGTGTTGAGAGGGTGGGAAATCCTATTATGGTAATTGAAAGGTGGATCCTTGAAGAGATGATTGGCTTGTGAAGATCACACTCTAGTATGTGGATTAATCCATTCGTGGTTTAATGGTGGTCATGGGCATACTTTTGAGGGCTTTAAGAGGGAAGCCAGTGGGAGGTTAGCTCTTTCTTGCTTCTGCTTTTCTCACAAGCTGATGTCATTCATCTCTAAAGTCACCACCAAAGAAAGCCCTCGCCAGATATTTTCCTGGCTAGCAATAAATATTGTTTCTTTACAAAATACCCAGTTTCAGGTATTTCTGTTATAAACAACAGAAATGGACTAGAACAGTGGACAGTGCCCCCTTCCCCCCGTGTCTGTCTTTCTCTTTCTTCTCTCTGTCTCCATGTCCTTTTCTGTGTCTACGTCCCCCTCTGTCTAGGTCCCCCAGTTGTCTCTCTGCTTTCCTTTTCTCTGTTTCTCTGTCTCTAGAAGCACCAGACTCCATTCCCCCTGGGCTGGTCCTTGGCAGCTTGGCTGCTGTATCTGTTTCCCACAGATTTCTTTCCTGCTTTCTATGGTGGGGGTGGAGGAGGAACCACTACAGGCTGCAACTCCAGGCTCTCTTATCATCCAGCTCATGCTTTTACGGACAAAGTGGAATCCCTGGCAGGAGATAAGAATGAGTCAGCGAGGTGAAGGTCATTATTATCTAAGTTCATTGAAGAGACAGGTCTGTGCTTTCTAAAAGTAAATAATGTCTGAATGAAAGAGCATAGAGGTGGGACAGAAAATCATGTAAATCTTTGATGTCAGTCATAACGTTTATTGTGTTCAGAGAAGGGGACTTTGAATAATCGGAAAGAGAAGCTCTTATCAACTCACCATAAAATATAGCAGCACTAAACCTTAGGAGACTGGGACTTTTATGGGATACAAGTTATATTTTGTTATAGACTGAATATGTGGCAGAAAGAATCCGAGGGAGATGGTGGCTTCTTTATTCATTAATGGACAATAGCTGTTGCATACTAAAGAGTGGTGAAACATTCATCTTATGCTCAAAATTGAAGGGAGAACAGTTACCGTGGAGAGCTTAATCAAAAGAACTAGAATAGCAG